ATACACTGCTCTGGGTGAATGTTAGGTCCTAGAGTAAGATACACTGCTCTGTGTGAATGTTAGGTCCTAGAGTAAGATACACTGCTCTGGGTGAATGTTAGGTCCTAGAGTAAGGTACACTGCTCTGGGTGAATGTTAGGTCCTAGAGTAAGGTACACTGCTCTGGGTGAATGTTAGGTCCTAGAGTAAGGTACACTGCTCTGGGTGAATGTTAGGTCCTAGAGTAAGGTACACTGCTCTGGGTGAATGTTAGGTCCTAGAGTAAGATACACTGCTCTGTGTGAATGTTAGGTCCTAGAGTAAGATACACTGCTCTGTGTGAATGTTAGGTCCTAGAGTAAGGTACACTGCTCTGTGTGAATGTTAGGTCCTAGAGTAAGGTACACTGCTCTGGGTGAATGTTAGGTCCTAGAGTAAGGTACACTGCTCTGGGTGAATGTTAGGTCCTAGAGTAAGGTACACTGCTCTGGGTGAATGTTAGGTCCTAGAGTAAGATACACTGCTCTGTGTGAATGTTAGGTCCTAGAGTAAGGTACACTGCTCTGGGTGAATGTTAGGTCCTAGAGTAAGGTACACTGCTCTGTGTGAATGTTAGGTCCTAGAGTAAGGTACACTGCTCTGGGTGAATGACATGTGCTTTGAGGGGTCTTAAAGACTGGATAAAGCGCTATATAAGTACAGTCCATTTACCATTTGACCTCTGCATTTCAACCCATCCTAGTGCTAGGAGCTGTAGTGTGTGCTACATGTTGGCTCAGCCTGAGTCCACATCAGCGTCTTGTCAATAGTTTCTAGTGAGCGCCGTCACAAGCAGCCACGGAAAAACGTGGAGCTTCTGAGCGCTTTGAGCTGGAAATACTTTTACGTTTGAAGAAAAGTGCAGGTAATATCAGTGTAGGAATTGGAGGAGAAGCTAGTTTTGACCGTGTCTTTCAGACGGAAACGATATCAAATAAGTGTAAGAGCAAGAATCTTGCAATTTGTTATTATTATGTGGAAGAACAATGTCAAACAGAAATATTCTTTCTGATGAATGGCTGGGAGGAGGCTCCAGCTCCCCGTCAGCCCCCCCTACAGAAACAGACGCTCTGTGGACCCAGGGCCGGATCTGATGGGAGAACAGAAGATTATGAAGACAAACAGACCTGAGGTGACGGAAGGATCCACAGTCAGCAGAGTAGGGCCCGTGCTCGGGGGCCCCGAACATGTTGCTGTCCACGAAGTTCACATAGCAGCTGAACTTGTGGAGGTGCATGCGTGAGGCCCGCACCACCCAGACGTGTCGGTCGGGGAAGCGGCGACCCAGAGTGAGGGCCACCTGCTCCAGACTCCAGGAGAGCCACGGGGCCCCGTCAGGCTGCAGGGACATCTCCTCCTGGAAGTTCTGCACACAACACACAGAGAGAGGCTGGACACACTGAAACACATCACATGCTCTGCACTGTGTCCAACACTACAGGGACCACTGCCTCCATCACACTGGCAGCCTCACATGAGCTCAGAGTCCACAGCTCTGCAAGAACTAAATAGTGCCATTACCTAAACGTGTGTGTGTGTGTGTGTGTGTGTGTGTGTGTGTGTGTGTGTGTGTCTCTCTAGAAGACAGCAGGAATCTCCAAAGCAAGTTTATATGAGTTGAGTTTGGAAATGGAAGGAGACTGTCAAGTTAGCCCTGTTGCTGTTTTACGTTAAGTGTATGCACTTGGTATTACGGTAAGAGCGGGTAATTGACCTTCTGTTGAACGTAGAGGCAATTTCTTGAATAAGTCGTCAATCAGCTGGTGAATAATAAATAAATGCATCCAAATAAGTACAACACAATGAACCCATGGAGTCAAGAAGAGGACATAACACCTGCATTTTAGTTGTGTGAATAACCAACAATTGTAGGTCAAACATAGGACTCAATCTGATGACACCTATAAGGAGTCACATGATGCGTGCAAGGTTTTCACATCAGAAACACTCATGCCATTACCTAGAAACACATATTTCAGCATCAGTGAGCCATATAGTAGCACATGAAAGAAATACACCAGGACATCAATTGTATCTTCAATAATATACTATAATAACTAAATCAGATCAAATACATATTTCTTAGTAAATCAGCCCGTTGTTATTGTGTGGCTTCATAAACTCAAGTCCACGATTCAAACATTAGTGGGTGGAGTGCTGGAATGTAACTACATGTACTCAACACTGCACTAAAGTACACATTCAAAGTACTTTGCTTTTACTTGATTGAGTATCATCATTTTGGACAGTATACTACCACAGTTTTACTTCACACATTCACACTTTCAAGTCAAAACCAAGTGTCCCCAACGTTGACCATTGTGACTGATTGTGATGTGTTGAAAACCGTTATAATAAAATATACTATTTGAAATCATTTTCACAATTCTGAAAACATTGCCTGCAACGTCTCTGTTAGTTGTTGGTTGAGTGATAAGAACTATGATGAACTCAACACCACGTGGGAACGCACAGCAGTTAAGCTCTTCTGGCAGACCATCCCTGACAACCTCTCCCTGTTGCTGCATGCCTCTTCTTCCACCCTTTGTTTACTAGGAGACATTTCCAATGTGAACACCAACGTTCCATCAAGTAGAACTCTGTCCATAGCCCTAATCATTGCCAAACCAACTATCCTCATGATTCGGAAGTCACGACATAAAAGCAATATCACAATTTGGAGAAAGCTGCTAATGGGTTCAATGGAAACAACAAACCACTGATTTTGATGCAATCGGGAACGCATTCATTGATACATTTCAATCATAATCCTCAATCAGCCACCACCCCTTTCTACTTCTTTAAGGTCATGCTACTATTTATATGCCCCCCCCTTCCTGGGATATATGACTATTATATTGTTACTCATTTCATTTGAATTATAATTGTGTCATGTATTACTCTCTGTTTGTCTAATCCCCCAGGCGCATGCACACAGGGAAGAAACACTTCACGATGATGTTTAATGTAAGCCATATGCACAGGATATTAGTGAATCGAGAGCCAATGACTGCCTAATCTGCATCAGAGTGTGGGTGCTAATCTGTTCAACTTTACGCACAAACCGAGGTAGTATGAGTCATAACATCTTCCAGTAAAAAAGATCCTGCTTTGGCTTCAATGTCTGAATCTACTATCATTTCAATATGTTGTGATGTTTCTTACATTGTTTTGCATTTGAAGTAACATGAAAACTCTCCCTTTGAGGCAGGAGCCATGCAGTCTTCATCAATATGTGTGTTCTTTGGATAATCTCTCTTCCTGTGAACATTCACCTCTCTGTATGTCATCCAGCTGAGGCTCAGTCACACAAGCAACGCAGCCATGCAGCTTCAGAGCGCACACACACACACACACACAACCACACACACACACACACACACACACACACACACACACACACACACACACACACACACACACACACACACACACACACACACACACACACACACACCACACACACACACACACACACACACACACACACACACACACACACACACACACACACACACACACACACACACACACACACACACACGTATATTTAGTTATTTGTCTTGTATACTTGTAAATGCTCCTTATTGTCTTCAGTGTATATGTGACACTGTACGTGTATGCACTTGTCTTGTAACTCCTATATCGCTAAATAAAAAATAAAAAGTGACTAAAATCACTCAGTTAGGCCAGCCATCACCTCTCTGTTGGATAGCCTGAGGTCACCACACACTGCTTATAGTATGTGTCTAACCTCCATCCCACTCACTTGGATATCCCCGTGAAAAAACACCACATGGCTGTTGCCTCTCCCCTCCCCCGGCTCAGTGGCAGCTTCGGGCCGGAGCAGCAGCAGGTCGTTCACTCGGCTCGGCTCGGCTCCGGGTACCGCCAATAGCTTCTGGAGCCTCTGCTCCGGGCTCCCCGGGGGTTCAGAGGGTGTCATGGTTGATACAGAGGACATCGTTTTTGCCACAGATAATAGAGTGAACCTAACTATCAACGCTAGCATGGACTCTAAATAAGAATCGGATTTGTTGTCCTCTCTGCAGTCATTCCATGGTGCGGCTGTCAGCTAGCTAACAGATCACTGTCACTGTTAGCATCTCGTTATCTGCTGCTAACGTCAAAACAAGGCGCCTGTAAGTAGCTGTAGCCGAAATGCTTATAATTTCACACTATTCTATATCCGCTGGCAGTCCTTTGCAGTTCCAGAATCTCCCTATAATATACTTAATTCTGACAGTAATGGGTAGTTTTGTCCACGCAGAGGCGCTGTTTATCAGACAGCCAGCAAAGCCAGAGCTAACTGCCAGCAAACCGCTAGCACTTCTGCGCACGTCTTTTTTTTCCTGATTTCAAAGATAGGTTAGTGTGTCGAGATCATATACTCCTATCGACTTCCGTTTGGACTATTCAGTCAACCACAACAGACCATTCAGTCAGTCGAAGGCTATCATTGAATAAATATGAAACAAATATAAACATAAATATTACATAAAACATTTCAAGCAACAGCAGGAAACAACACACTCTATCATCATTTATTAATGTCTTTCGGGAACCATTTATATAAAAAAAGAAAGTAAGCCAATGTAAGCATAACATTCCTCTAAGAAAATTAGAAAGACATCCATATGAACAATATTCTTAACGGTATAAACATAAACGTATGCATATATCAAACAATAGGCCTACAAAATAATTCACAAAATCGAGCAAAGAAAAAACAATTAGGCTTTATTGACAGTGACATCATGGTGCAAAATGGCATTGTCCAACCCATTAGGTTGGAAACAGTAGTGAACCATCTTGCACTGAAGTCTGCATGTTCAAATAGTCGTTCATCGACTCTGGCACCAGCTGCACTAAAGTTAGTTCTCTGTTTGTTTTAATGCACTGACCATGTTAATGGTGAAAGACTATTCAATGTAACGCAGGTATCACAAATTCCATGGAAGGATTATTTTGGTACATTTATATTTTAAAATTGCAGATACAGTGAGTTAGCTTATTTCAGCATGGACTTTGAACATGTTTTGTAACTGTAGGAAACAAACTGTCAGCACACTTGATAATTCCAACAGGCTGCACCGAGGCAATTTTCTGGAGATTTCAAGAACTGAGTGTTCAATTCAGCAGTTTATGGTTGCCAAACATTTGGTAAATGACTTTATTGCCAAAACTTAACAGATACAGTAGACCAAATACAAACGTTATTGACTTAAATGCTTATGGTGACACATTTAAAAATGCAGGTAAGTCCATAGTATACATTTGTTTTAATTTGGCCACAAAAGACAATTATGGAATATACCTTGAATGCTAATTCATACCAAATTGAGAGCAGTTATCAAAGTAACAGTAACTGTAGATACACAGTAGAGTCTGTGCAAAGTTTGATAGCAAAAGCTACCATTAGATCATGATACCAGAACAAGTAATGCTGTAGAAGCAAAGACACATGTTCAAGAATTTGACTTTAACATTAGATATTATCTTGGCTTTGTTCGGGTGTAAGTGGAATATTGAATGGGCGGCTGTTCTTCAGCCTGTGTTAACTTGAGTCTGGTCCTTGCCCTTCCTTTCCCCATCCCCTCTGAGCAGCTGCAGCATGGCGGCCTGTTCTCTGGGCAACAGACTGGTGGCGTGTCTCCTCAACGTGTCTGAGGCTCGCAGCAAAGACCTGGTGGAGACTGTGGCCAAGGCAGCCTTATTCAACACTGAAGGTAAGGACAATTCTATTTGTACCCTGCCTCAGAGTCCTGCACGGGTCTGATTTTCAAGACCTGCTCCCGCCCCGCACCCGCGACATGCAATACCGAACCCGCCCCGCTACCCGCACATATTGCCAATTAGTTCCCCAACCCGACCCGACCCGTCGGCACAAGATCCGCAACCCGTCCCGAACCTGAACCCGCACTCCCGCAGTTGCATATATGTCTCAAAAAGCGTGGGATGTTGGTTATTTTCTCCATCTAGGATGACACCAAAAGCCTCCCAGACGTTGGATTTCGTTCTTGAGGAAGTGTTATTGAAAATGCTGTATTCTCCGCTAGAGAGCTTCACCTCAGCCATTTAGAATGTGGCGCGCTCAGCAGCAGATTGATGCGCTGCATATGATTATGCACGGTCCCGCGGGGGAGAGGTCTGAGGATTTAAACATTAAACTAAATTATTATTATTTTAATATACAGTGGGGCAAAAAAGTATTTAGTCAGCCACCAATTGTGCAAGTTATCCCACTTAAAAAGATGAGAGAGGCCTGTAATTTTCATCCTATGGTACGCTTCAACTATGAGAGACAGAATGGGGGGAAAGAATCCAGGAAATCACATTGTAGGATTTTTAATGAATTAATTGGTAAACTCCTCGGTAAAATAAGTATTTGGTCACCTACAAACAAACAAGATTTCTGGCTCTCACAGACCTGTAACTTCTTCTTTAAGAGCCTCCTCTGTCCTCCACTCGTTAACTGTATTAATGGCACCTGTTTGAACTCGTTATCAGTATAAAAGACCTGTCCACAACCTCAAACAGTCACATTCCAAACTCCACTATGGCCAAGACCAAAGAGCTGTCAAAGGACACCAGAAACAAAATTGTAGACCTGCACCAGGCTATGGAGTTATATTTGTGCCTCTATCCTGAGCACGCAATGAAACATGTTGAGCATAGAAAATGCTATTGAGCGCGCACTTGAACAGTTTTGAGCACAGAGAAATATATTTTCTCTCGTAAAACTCCTGCTCCGTGCACAAGCAGACCGCTGCACGCGCTCTCTCTCCCCCGCTCGCTCGACCTCTCCAGCCTGTGCGCGCTCAGCTTTGCCTGCGCTCGCTCAAGTTGTCACAGCGTTACAAATGTGCCACAAAACCAACCAATCGGAGAACTCGAGAAGGTCAATTCTGATTGGCTGGTCGTCTCCAATCATATCTTCTATCTGAGATGAGAGAGGGATTTTCGGTTGCCATCGGGCTGTTGACGTTCTTATTACACATCTATCGTTGACATTTACAGGACATGACAGACTCGAATGAAGAGAATAGCACGCCACAGTGTCAGGTGAGTTATACATTTCTAGTTTTCTGATATCACGTTATTGTTTGCAATGCCTGAGTTTGCTAGCCGGCAACATAGCTATAGGGGTAGTTTAAGCAAACCGCTAACAAACCGTAGCATACATGTAGCTACATGAACCCTTCTGAGGTATTGATTACTTGCTATAAGCATTAGAGGTGGCAGAATGACAAAACCTGTTTCTCTCTCTATCACAATGTTGGGTTGACCAGAACCTGGACCAACTTCTGTTTCCTGTTCTACAATGGGCATATGCTTGCGTTAATTTTCAACCGGACAGATGAGGCTAGGATACCGGCTAAAGTTAGCAACACACATTAACCATGAACAGCCTAATAATCCGTTCTCTTAATGTTATTTCTTCCAACGTTGTGGAATTAGAGAAAAGGGGCTTCTTAACGTGCTTTTATCCGGGGTGGAGGGAGTTACATATTAACATTGGGGCGTGTGATTGTAGTGGGTGGAGAAATGAGGATATCCATCTTGGAGTTCAAGCTAGTATAATATAGTTAACGTTACACAATAATAAGGAAGAGAGCTATTTGTGTGATACATCGCTATTGATATGGATTTAGAGTGGATATTTGAGACTTCTAAACAGTAAACAAAAACATAACTTATGGGTGAGTGTTTTTAGCAGTCATATTATGTCCTTGTGATTCTGTTGATTATTACCTGTCTGTATTATGTTGCAGCTCAGCTGATTTTGGATTGATGGCAAAGGGCGAGGGACTTAAGTGAGAGTGAAAACACAAGGTAAGTTTAAAATAGGTCAGCAATGTCCCACCCTATTGCTAGATGTATCTAACCCTTCTCCTGTCTCCCTCTCTCAGCACAAGAACCCCAGGGGGATTCCATGGAGCCTGAAGACCTGCAATGAGACCCTCACCCTGCACCTGAGTCTCAACTCCCAGAGTTTTGCAAGCCTCTCCCTGTTCCTTATTTTGATTAAACAGACGTTAAGCTTCCCAATGGTGTGGTCTTCGTTTTGTGAAAAATATGATTACCTCACATATGTTGTTGCTGTTGTTGTCTTTTGTGATAATTAAATTGCTCCTGCTGACTTGAGCCAGCCATTCTTTCCTCCTCTCTGTGTCAGTGGGGAAACCTTACATTCATACTCCTTTCTCTGAGCGCTTGGAGCATCCCTAGGCAGCACAGCAAACCATGGGGGAGACGATATGCCAGGACAACACAGAGGAAAAGGCACAGACAAACGGCATGATATGCTATTCAATGTTTATTGAATTCCATTTATTTACAATGGATGTTCCTAAAACAACACATTTAACATCATCAACATCATCATCATGCTGCTGCTGCTAGTGCTTTGACTCATTGTGCTGTCAGTTGACAATCATTGATAGGCACCTGTGGGTCTCCTGTCCTGTCTGAAAGTCATAAAGATTACATTAGTACTTTAGATTACTTGTGTCCTCAATTACCAGGGGATTACTAAAACCACCATGAATTAAAGAAATGGTAGAAATGTATCTAATCAGAATTTTTAAACCTTCCTTCCCCTCCCTCTAAATATATCAATAAACATTAGGATGTGATGCTCCTGACTACCATACAGGTTTAAGAAGATAATATTTGTTTTAAAGAATTCAAAGCAATAAACAACAGGCTCTTTAACCAAGGCAATGTTAGCCTAACATGTATGTTAACAGGTAAGATAGCTGTTCACACTATGTATATTTTCTACTTTCTACGTTGTAATGCTATGTTATTTCTATTTAAGATGTTTACATTTTCGATTGTTTAATTCTAGTCTTTTAACTGTCTAATGTACAATGCCTCCTTGTCTTTTGCTGCTGCAGCGTAAACATTTCCCCAATTGGTATCAATAAAGTACTTCTTATTTTATCTTAATCCTCAAATATTAGCACATTTTAAAAAAAAAACACACACATTGATGTAACTACATACACATATCAATATGTTGTATAAATATTGCAAATCAAATCCTTTATTGATCACTAATTACCAAAAATTGCATTTCTATCCTGTTATTAATGCATTCAAATCGTGATTCAAATGGCCCGCCACGAACTTCCGGGAACTTTCTGAGTCTCTCTGAACCACGTGACAATCAAGCATTTTGGACTTCCGCTGTAGCAACACTTCTCTCTACATGGCGCTGGACCAGCCAATCAGAATTGACCTTCTCGAGTTCTCCGATTGGTTGGTTTTGTGGCACATTTGTAACGCTGTGACAACTTGAGCGAGCGCAGGCAAAGCTGAGCGCGCGCAGGCTGGAGAGGTCGAGCGAGCGGGGGAGAGAGGGCGTGTGCAGCGGTCTGCTTGCGCACGGAGCAGGAGTTTTATGAGAGAAAATATATTTCTCTGTGCTCAAAACTGTTCAAGTGCGCGCTCAATAGCATTTTCTATGCTCAATAGCATTTTCTATGCTCAACATGTTTCATTGCGTGCTCAGGATAGAGGCACAAATATAACGCCATACCAGGCTGGGAAGACTGAATCTGCAATAGGTAAGCAGCTTGGTTTGAAGAAATCAACTGTGGGAGCAATTATTAGAAAATGGAAGACATACAAGACCACTGATAATCTCCCTCGATCTGGGGCTCCACGCAAGATCTCATCCCGTGAGGTCAAAATGATCACAAGAACGGTGAGCAAAAATCCCAGAACCACACGGGGGGGATCTAGTCAATGACCTGCAGAGAGCTGGGACCAAAGTAACAAAGGCTACCATCAGTAACACACTACGCCGCCAGGGACTCAAATCCTGCAGTGCCAGACGTGTCCCCCTGCTTAAGCCAGTACATGTCCAGGCCCGTCTGAAGTTTGCTAGAGAGCATTTAGATGGGAGAATGTCATATGGTCAGATGAAACCAAAATAGAACTTTTTGGTAAAAACTCAACTAGACGTGTTTGGAGGAGAAAGAATGCTGAGTTGCATCCAAAGAACACCATACCTACTGTGAAACATGGGGGTGGAAACATCATGCTTTGGGGCTGTTTTACTGCAAAGGGACCAGGACGACTGATTCGTGTAAAGGAAATAATGAATGGGGCCATGTATCGTGAGATTTTGAGTGACAACCTCCTTCCATCAGCAAGGGCATTGAAGATGAAACGTGGCTGGGTCTTTCAGCATGACAATGATCCCAAACACACCGCCCGGGCAACGAAGGAGTGGCTTCGTTAGAAGCATTTCAAGGTCCTGGAGTGGCCTAGCCAGTCTCCAGATCTCAACCCCATAGAAAATCTTTGGAGGGAGTTGAAAGTCTGTGTTGCCCAGCGACAGCCCCAAAACATCCCTGCTCTAGAGGAGATCTGCATGGAGGAATGGGCCGAAATACCAGCAACAGTGTGTGAAAACCTTGTGAAGACTTACAGAAAACGTTTGACCTCTGTCATTGCCAACAAAGGGTATATAACAAAGTATTGAGATGAACTTTTGTTATTGACCAAATACTTATTTTCCACCATCATTTGCAAATAAATTCTTTAAATATCAGACAATGTGATTTTCTGGATTTTTTTTTTCTCATTTTGTCTCTCATAGTTGAGGTATACCTAGGATGAAAATTACAGGCCTCTCTCGTCTTTTTAAGTGGCAGAACTTGCACAATTGGTGGCTGACTAAATACTTTTTTGCCCCACTGTATTTATTATGCAACACCCGCGACCCGACCCGCATCATCTTTGTTTTACCCAGAACCGAACCCGGAAAAAAGCGTTTGATAAAATAGGCTACCACCCGCAAATCACTTTTTTTGCGGGTCACCCGGGTACCCGACCCGATGCAGGACTCTGCCCTGCCTTACATTTAAAGGTATAATGTGAGGCGGTCAGAAATGGTCTTTTTGATAATAATAATAATACATTTTATTTGTAAAGCACATTTCATAGCTAAAAGCAATCCCAAAGTGCTACAGTAGGGCATAACACTCATACATAAACATTGGGGGGGGTGGTAGAGCACGCTCGTGAACTGTTAGCGTTGGAGCCTCGCTTCGGGGAAACATTTGCCGTATTAGCACATAACATGAGGCCCCCTGCGCTTGTTCTGCGTGTAGGGAGGGTTTCCCCATGGTGTGGAGCTGTCCTGGGGGGGGGCGAAGCAGATGGTTGGTTGTAGAACAGAGGTTGCATGTGGAGGTTTGTGGTGAGAGTAGTTCCTTGAGGTAGGAAGGAGAGTTCCCGTGGATGCACTGATGGGTCAGTAGTGAGATCTTGTTTTTGATCCTGAATGAGACAGGAAGCGAGTGAAGAATGGGTTTGATCATCTCACCAGGATCCTAGCGGCACTGTTCTGTATGTATTAGAGCTTCTGAAGGCTCTTGCTAGGAGTCCCGATGAGGAGAGCGTTGCCGTAGTCGAGCCTTGAGGAGACGAAGGCATGTACCCATTTTTCAACATCTGACAGGGAGAGTGTAGGGCGGAGTTTTGCAATGTTCCTGAGGTGGTAGAAGGAGGTTTTGCACAGATGTTTGATGTGGGTGTCAAAGGTCAGATGGCCATACACCCAGGTTGGTAACTGATGAGGAAAAGAGTATGTTTTGGCCAGAAAAGGCGATATGGGTTATGGGGGATGAGTGGTTGGTCAAAATTAAAATAGCCTCTGTTTTGGAGCTATTGAGCTGCAGGAAGTTTTATTTCATCCAAACCTCTATTTCCTCAAGGCAAATGTTTAAGGATGATCACACCACAGGTGACAGGGTGTGTCTGGGACCTTGCACCTCCCAATAGAATAGATAGCTCAGGGCGGAGTCAGAGAGTCCGGTGGTGTAGTGGTGCGCTGAAGGAGGAAGTGATGGTCAACCCTTTGGAAGGCTACCGATCCAGGAGGATGAGGAGCCCCACATTCTCCTGGCATCTCTCGCACAAGGGACTGGTATTTGTATCCAGTTTAAAGTCATATTGTTATGATACACTTTATATTTTAACTGAGTGGAGGATTTAGTCATCAGACATCTGGATATTAAGTTCTCAGAGAACCAAGCAGAACAATGTTAGCTGGAGCTGGCTAAACAGCTTCCGCTGCTGGGAAACTGCTTTTTAACTGTTTAAATCACCTTTTCTGTATGTTTTGGAGATGAGGAGAGTTATACAGACAATACAGCCCCCAGTAAAATCTTCCTGAACATCTGGATTTTTTTGTTATCAGAGACGTAAGATGAGCAGACATTAGTCACACTGTTTGCAACCTCTCTTGTACAGCCATGATTGTGGTCAGAGAAACACTTATTTTTGTGATCATGAGATATCAGAGGATTAGTTTTCTGGTATCAATCTCCTAAATAATGATCACTGAAGGAATCCTAACCTGGAGAAGCTTTATAACAGCAATAGCCACTTTCACACCAAGTACTTTGCCGTACTTAGTGCACACCAAAATGCAAAATATATTTTGCATTTTGGTGTGAATGCAAAATAAGGGGTAGCCTACTAACGGAACTAAACGGGAAAAGTACTCCGGTGTGAACGTGCCTAATAATGATGTTGTAGACAACAACAAATCCCATGATCCCATTGTGTTGCAACTTCATAATATCACCAAACCTCGTCTTTTGTTAATATTATTATAAATAAGTCTGAGGATAATTAGTACCAGCAATTTGGTCATATGCTGCTAATAAAGTAATTACTCCAAACTTTATTCTCAAGCCACGTGGTAATCCAAAGTATAGGCTTAAAGCAGTTATAAACCAGCTACCCTAAGTTTGGAGATTCATCTTCTTTACTATTCTCTCTGTAGTATTCAACCTTACCAAACATCATTTAACTTTTTAGCGTTTTTACATTTACACATCAGGTGTTAGACGAGAGGGGACCACGGTGCTGAACATCTTTAATGACCATGACTACAACCGTTCTGTCATCACCATTGTGGCCAGCATCGACTCTATCAGTAAGTATTAAACCTTTACAGTTGTGGTGATACGTCATGTTTTCACACTCATCGGATTCTTTTCAGGGTAGAGTAGAGGCAACTACTTGCTGCAGCAGTGCTTCTTCAGCTGGGATCAGTCCCCGTCCCCTGCTCTGCAATCCTTTAATACGCTTTGTCAGGGATTTAAACACAAAAAAGTCAGGATGAAAATGTTCTGTCAAAAATCACAGTGAAAGGTTTATCTCATTGAATGCTTATTCCTAACACGCATTTCTGACAATGCAAACAAAGCTCTCAGGGGTTAAGTTCTAAAGACAAATTAATTCAACTAAACATTTAACTTCTATCTCATTGAATTCAGTTTTTTTCAGACTGTTCTGCCGAAGGACACAATTAAAAATGGACATGGTTTGATGTAATGTTTTTTTCTGCAGGAGAGGCGGTGCTCGCTGCATGTGAGAAGGCCTGTGGGCTCATAGACATGCGTGATCACTCGGGGGGGGCACCCGTGTATGGGTGCCGTCGACCTGATACCCATTTACCCCCTGGGGGAGGAGGTGGGAGTGGAGCACTGCGCTGAAGAGGCCCGGGGTGAGAGTCCATTATGTCATTGTGCATGTGTACCAATGTGTGGGAGTGCACCAGGATATTTGTTCCTGTGAGTTCAGTTTATCCTTTCTAGAGTGGTGCAGGAATGAGTCCGATAACCCGGGAAATGAGTTAGCATTTTCCAACGTCCGGTTCCCTCGTGTCCAAGTCAATGGTTGTTATACAGATGTAGCGCTTCATTTCAGACAGTTTGAAACGGGAGGGCCGTGATTGGTACGTGATCTGCCCTCGCTCAAGGGAAAACCTCCAGCTTGACTTGAGACCTCCTCCGTGATAAATAAATGTAATTATAATGAAGCCAGCTGCAATGGATCATTGATCCACCAGGGGGTGCAGTGGGGTTCCACACTGGAGCTCATGTGAAATAAAGTCAGATACAGTACGCTGGATGTACAACGGAACTTTGTTAAGATCCATATGTCACGGATATCATACTCTGTGCTAAATAAGAGACATGTAATCATTTACAAAACATCACCATGTTGTTATTTTAAAAAATAATGTTGTTTAGTCGAAAAAAACGAACGGGAGGAAATGCAGCCCGGCTCTCGATTTTTAATCCTAATTTAATCATCATCTTCACCACGATCATTTATGTTTATGTTGGCCGAATTGACATGAAATCACTGACACATATGAATATACTGTATTCAACTTCATTAAAACGTTATTAACTCAGTAATTCACTAAAAATATTTATATTTTAATGGAGCCTCGTCGGCAGATCAGGATCCCAACGCGTAGCGGAGTGATCTTGATCAGCATGAAGGGTGTTATTTTCCCCATAAGGAACAAGTCGCTGCAAATGATCCCGCTTATTACATGGCCACATTCTCAACAAAGTAACGACATGACTCCCAATATTAATTGAAATGCTTTTATGGATTTAGAAAATGTTTTTATTGATTTAAAAAATAGTTGTATGTATTGATTTAAATGTACATGCATCCGCTAAGAAAAATAGTCCGTTGTTACCGTTTTTTAAACAGTCTGAATGAAACGGCAGCTCTCAGCTGTGTGTTTACACAACTAAAGGCCCATCAACCACAGCTCTCTCCCCCCCTCCCCCCTGATCTTTCTTCTCCAGCAGCTAAATTAACTGTAGGTTACTCTGACAAGCTGGTGGGTTGAAAGCAATACGGGAGGTAAAAATAACTAGAATAATTGTGATTTATTTATTGTGGCTGTTATGTTTTTAGGTATAACATTTTATATAATTCAGGCTTATAATTCACCCTTCTCTAAAAGCCTTCAACAATGACAATATTTATAGTACTTTAATAAATCCTTCCAACACACATTGTACAAAATAGCCTACTGTAAGTTAAGAAATAATTCCAATATGTACATCTTCTGATGTAACAACAATAACATTATAAATAGTAACATAGCTGAACATGGTATTGCACATTTAGCTTTGAGTGTTACTGACCTGAGATGTTTTTATTACACGAATTAAGGTGACTGAGGCTTTTTAACATAGACAGAGCACAACTGAAACATAACATCTGAAACGATGTAACAACATAATACACTTTTTGGGGATGCAGCTTGGGATGTGAGGAGTGAGGGACGCGGCTTAGAACGGGCGTGTCGCCTTCTGTCCTGCCAGTGTTGGCAGGAGAGGAGAGTGTGTGCACCAGTCTGCCTTGATCTATGAATTCATGTCCCGATATTGATATTCAATATTTCAATATTTCAATATTAATTTAAATGCTTTTATGGATTTAGAAAATGTTTTTATTGATTTAAAAAATAGTTGTATGTATTGATTTCAATTGACATGCATCCGCCAAGAAAAATAGTCCGTTGTTACCGTTTTTTAAACAGTCTGAATGAAACGGCAGCTCTCAGCTGTGTATTTACACAACTAATGGACCATAAACCACAGCTCTCTACCCCCCTCCCCCCCTGATCTTTCTTCTCCAGCAGCTAAATTAACTGTAGGTTACTCTGAGTGACAAGCATACAGTTAGACACAACACTGTCATTGCAAGTGACCCTCAGTTAGTTGACTTTTATGTTCAACTGCTAAATTCGTTACTGATAAAAAAGGGCTTCTACTGTACCTAATTACCTTAACACTAGAACCGCCAGAGGTTATTGTATAGGCCTACCTAACACCGTCAAATCCCGTTATTAGAATGCAATTTTTAACAACATAGGGTGCTACATAACACACTTTCAGGAAAAGTCACGGACTGGGAGACTTTAATATTTTATTGAAAAAAAGTTACATTGCACACACACAACACACATCACACAAATTGACCCGATTGGCGGTTATAGTGTTAAATAAACTCACCAATGAATGAAACCAGTTCAATATGCATTATTCCTATTCTTATCATTCTTTATGAGCGCAGAAATAGTCTTAAAATCAGACCTGTTTTTGAAATGAAATCTGACGGCATTAAATAATGGTCGGAATGTGACCTGTGAGCCTTCTGAATTACCGTGGGACAGCACATTCTAAACTAAAATGTTCAATCAATAAAGTAACATCTTATCTTAATAATATCTTCATATTATTAATAATAATAATAAATCATACAGTATGTGTCCAAAAGGGAGCAGGAAGAAGCAAACACAAAAATATACAAAACATATACTGCATATTAAAGCAAACGATTGTAAAGGTAAAAGTATGAGCATAACAAATAAAGAAGTGTAATGTAAACATTTACATTATTATTATGATTATTTAATATATGAAGACTATATATTATTGAATTACAAGATTAGATATACTTTAGTTGATCTAAAATATTGATGTGTTCAAATGCTCTTCAAAACACAACTGAAAGTCCATGAAACTTGTCTTTCTGTATTTGTGAATGAAGCGCCATCTCCTGGTTAAAACCTGAAATTAAAAATCTGGCAACGCCCTCTTGGAAAATAGTGGGAGGGCTTAACATTCCTATTGGAAAAAACTATTGGAACAGCGAGGCCAATTGCTTTATTTTTGCTGTACACTGAAAACAATTAGGTTTGACATCAAAAGATGAATATGAGATAAAAGGTCAGTATTTCAGCTTTTAATTCCAGGTATTTACATTTAGATCTGTTAAAAAACTGAGAATATAACACCTTTTGTTTAAACCCACCCATGTGACTGACAGGTGAGTTTTTGTTGCCCAGGTGTGTCCTGCTACATTGATTATTCAAATAATAAATAGCACTGCATGTCTACGCTCAGTTTGAGCTTTGGGGTTTGCCTGTGCAGACTGCAACGGTGTAACCAACATGAAGACTAGAGAGCTGCCTACGGGAGAAAAGCAAGCAATTTTGAAACTGAGAGAAGATGGAAAATCCATCAGAGCCGTTGCACAAACATTGGCCATAGCCAGTACAACCATTTAGAAAGAAAGCACTGGTGTACTGAGCATCAGACTTCAAACTGGTCGACAAAGGAAAACATCAGCAGTTGATGACAGAAACATTGTGAGAACTGTAAAGAAACATCACCAACAACCTCCAGAGGGCAGGAGCGAAGGTATCACAATTCACCGTCAGCAGAAGACTTTGGGAACAAAAGTACAGAGGCTACACCAGAAGATTCAAAGCACTCATTAACAATAAGAATAGGAAGGCCAGATTTGAATTTGCCAAAAAGCTCAGAGATGAGGCTCAACAGTTCTGGGACAAAGTTTTATGGACTGATGAGTCAAAGATGAACCTTTACCAAAGTGATGGAAAGGCCAACGTGTGGAGAAAGAAAGGATCTGCTCATGATCCCAAACGCACATCTCATCTGTGAAACATGGTGGAGGTGATGTCATGGCTTTGGCTTGCATGGCTTCTTCTGGACGGGCTCATTGATCTACATTGATGATGTAACACGTGATTGCAGCAGCAAAATGAACTCAGAAGTCTACAGAGACATTTTGTCGGCCAATTTAAAGAGAGATGCAACCAAACTGATCGAGAGTTGCAGCAAGACAACGACCCAAAACACACTGCAAAAACCACCAAGGAGTTTATCAGGGAAAGAAGTGGAAGGTCTGGCCAAGTCAATCTACAGACTACAACCCTGTTGAGCGTGCATTGTACCTGCTGAAGAGGAGACTGAAGGGAGAAACCCCCCGAAATAAACAACAACTGAAAGAGGCTGCGGTGAAAGCCTGGAAGAGCATCACAAAAGAAGAATGCAAAGGTTTGGCGATGTCAATGGGTCGCAGGCTTGATGCAGTTATTGCAAGCAACGGATTTGTTTATTACATTTATTTTAAGTCTCTGTTCTTATACTTTTGCTCACTTTAAAAATGGGTGGGTTTAAACAAAAGGTGCTATCTTCTCAGTTGTTTAACAGATCTAGATGTAAACACCTGGAATTAAAAGCTGAAATAATGACCTTTTGTCTCATATTCATCTTTTGATGTGTACAGCAAAAATAAAGCAATTGGTATCGCTGTTCTAACAGCTTTGGAGGGGACTGTATCTACCTTATCTTGTACTGTCATACTGTATGTTATGTATACTGTAATGAGCTCATCCATAGTGTGTACAGTAATGTGTGTAGTGGCTGATGATGTGACATCTTCCCGTGCTGTTGACTACTTTCACGGTTTACCAGCTGACTTGGCAGCCATGTGTCTTACTGATAATAAGCTGTAACCCAGCATGTGTGCCGGCATGCCTGACCTGTGCACTCTGTGTGGTGTGGTGACAGAATAATAATTGTAATCTGACTAACATGCAGTCTATTTATGCCTGCACGTTATGAGAAGTCCATGTGTCCACATATTTCCCTCTGGCTGCATCTCAGCCCTCAGGTGTGATTAGTCTGTCACTCGGTCTTCTCTCGCATGTTTTTCGGAAATGGTTGGCATGTCATGCCGTGTGCTTCATTTGCTGTTTAACTCACTTGTTTGTTCTGTTGCGGGGCTCAGCTGTGGCTCAGTGTCTCACAGAGAGGGTCCAGGGCACCAGTGCTTTCCTGTTTGGCTGGGCAGACTCCCCCCTTCAGCGGGGGCTGGCACAGAGGAGGAAGGAGATGGGCTGGTTCAAGAAGAAGCCAGACATGCAGACAGTGAGGCCCGACATAGGGCCGCAGCCACAGGGACGCTTCGGACTCACAGGTGAGTCAGAGCTGAAGAACGGGTTAGCTTAATATGCCAGACGGGCTTCTGTTGGTGAGTGTTTGAGCCTGTTGAGAAGGTAAGGATGACTCTTTGCCAGGATTAGACAATGCAGGTAACTTTCTCTGTAGTAAAAAAGCGTTGGTACAGCCCAACCCCAGAGAAATATCTGGCTGCAGAGCTCCAAGCGTTGTGAAGGGAGGGACATCTTAGACGGTGAATACCAGAGAAGATCATCAGGATACTATAAGGTGTTCGACAGTTCTAATAAGCCATACAACCTCCACCAATAAAACATATGTAAACAATACAACTCAACAAATTGTGTTAACCCTATGAGTTTGATAATGTAAGCAAGAAATGCTAAAGTCGTTCTCAAAGAACTTTAGTGGAAATTAATGATGATTACATTTAGTTTGTCATTTTATTTTCCAAGGTTGTATGGTTAACTGGTTGGGGTATGTGGCATGGGCATGATACCATGTATTAAATATATGCTAAGTAAGCCAGCTTATCAATAAACTAAAAGCGTAATAAAACGAAACAAAGCGCAATACAGTCCTGAACAAAATCTTAAGACCGGGGGAAAAATGACAAGAATTCCCATTTTGCAATGGTGGATCGTAACCAGGTTGTAAGTATAGCTTAAAAATACAAAAAAAGGTGCAAGAGACCTAAAGACAGCAGGCCATTTTTGTGCATGTATACTCAAACAGGCTGTTCATCAGCTGATCAAAAGTTTAAGACCATAGCCTTAAAAAGAAACTGAACAGAACTCAAAGTGTCAACTGAGCATGAATATCCCCAAATGTTCTCAATGGAATTTAGATCAGGGGAACACACAGGATGGCCCAAAAGAGCAACGTTGTTCTCCTGGAAGAAGTCCTTCGTCAGGCGGGCGTTGTCCTGCTGATAGACCCAGTCATCACCTCACAGACGAGGGCCCTCAGTAGAGAGGGTGCCCGCTGCAACATCTCCACAGAGCCATTTAAAGCTATGTGTGCCATTGAAGGAAGAAGTACCCCAGATCATCATGGAGCCTCCTCCACTGTTCGGCATAGAAAACCTCCAGTGGGAGCTCCTTGTCATGCCAGGAACGTTGGAAGCCATCAAGACCATCCAGGTTACATTTGTTCTCGTCAGATGAATAACGTGGCCCTCGAAGATGTTTTTGTTCTCTCAGCACTTCTTTCAAAGATGCCGTCTTATGGTTATTGGGCTGCAGTCAGCATCCGTAACGGCCTTCATTTGGATTGAGGATTTGTCTTGACAGACAGCTGTCAAAATGGTTTGGGTCTTCCACATTACCTCTTTGTCCCGTAACCCTAAGGATCTAGGGATGTGCGTCTCCATCACTGAGGCCGATGGATGCGCATCTCGAGACGCTGCCAACGATACGATATATTAACGATACATTTGAAGCACTGGGCGATGCGATACGATATGATTCACCCCTGTTGCGATACAGCTCGATACGATTTGATTCAACATTATGCGATTCGGGGCGATACGATGCGATTCAACACGATGCAAAATAATGATACAATTCAATATGGTATGACAGAGGATTTTTGTTTTATTCCTCATATGCAGCAAATCATAAATTAACAAAAAAGTGCTTTACATATTTGGTTCTCTCTACTAGTACTGCGCATCCCATCATGCTGTTTCTTTTTTACCTTAAACAAAACAAACACTTGGACCTTTCACAGACTGGCCTTTTCACAAGTGTATTAGTGTTCTCTGTCTCCAGAGTACAGTTCAATGTTATAACACCTCACAGTTAAACTATTTAAGGATGCATTGCCTATGAGTAACAATGTGCTAATAACAGCTACCATAGTGCAATGCCCATACAGCTGCCAGTCTGATGTGCTTAACACTCATCCAGAGGCTAACTCACCAGTGAGCAGAAAGCACTGGTTTCTATAGGAACAATAAAGAAAACAACCTCTTTCACAAACAGGTATTTCATAACTGCTTACAGTGAGGAAGACATTTCAACTGTTATTCACAGTCACAGGCTGCTGTAAACTAAACACCTCTCTCACTGACATATCAATCAATCAATGTTTATTTATATAGCCCAATATCACAAATGTTACATTTGTCTCAGTGGACTTTACAGTTTGTACAGAATATCAGTATGACAATACGACACTGTGAGCCTCTCCGCTCACACAGGGTTCAAATAGGCAGGGCTGCACATAACTGGTGCGCAGGTGCGCATGCGCACCTCCGCCAAAAAAAGAGCACCGGGTCATTTGAAAAAAGGCGCATTTGCGTACCAACATTGAGAGAGTGAGAGGGAGAGAGAAGGGAGAAGAGAGAAGAGAGAAGAGATGAGAGAGAAGAGAGGAGAGAGAGAAAGATATTTGCGAGTTGCATATGAACTCAGGGCCGGCCCGTAGCACTGGCGTTATAGATGTTCGCCTAGAGCGCCAGATCTGGGGAGGCGCTGCGCTGGCAGCTCTGGGAGGAAAAAAAAATGTTTTGACCGTTGGGGCTCATCCTAATTGTCGGCCTTGATGTAACAATATTCATAATTAAGTAAATGTAACACCCTTTTCACCCCGGTTACACGTTTCATTTGCCCTGTACGATGGGCGCTGTAAGTGATGAAAATGGGGGATGTTGGCTTATCTGGCACCCATAGCTCACAGCCAAAGTGCGAGTGAGCGAGGGAGAGAGAGAAGGGCGCACCGCCCGGTACCGGCGCTGTTGTTATTAGAATCTGGTGCTAGCTGCTCTAACGGAAGAAGAAGATGTTTCTACAATGATGTGGAGGGAGAGTCCTCTCCAGTCAGACTGAGAGGCTGATAACTACAGCTCAGTGAGGTAAAGGACTCTGAGTGTTTAGATAGTTCACGAGAGTCTAAGTTACCTCAGTGGGTCTCAAACGTTTTGATCACAATTTATGTAAACACATATTTCCAAGGCACTCCTTTATAATTATTGGGATAAACAGGTTTGAAATCATTCCAATGCATCTATAGGAGAGTAAACCAAAAATATCCTTTAAAACTGGAAAGATACAAACAAATGCATAAATAAATAAATGTTAAGGTAAAATAAGATATGAATGAACAACAAAAATAAAATAAGTTACATTAATTTGTTATTGGCTATGGTAGGTTATTGGTTATGTTCACATACTTATTTGATTACATCCACTTGTCTAAGATGACAACAGAGACTTTCGACCCAAAACCAGCAGCTAATCGCAGACTCAACCAGAGAGAAAGTAGTAGTCCTACATCATCAGCTACCATGTCTGACAGAGAGGAAGACAGTGAGGAGAACAGTCAGGAGGGTAGTAATGACAGCTTGTATGAATACTGGTTGTGCTAATGTTGTCTTGTGTTCACCTGTCTGGCAAATAAAGTCAAGACCCCCTCAAAAGTTACGGTTTATTTCATTTTAAGGATGAGCACCAAGCAACATCTCCAGGTGCTCCTTTGAGAACCAGGGCAAAAAAGTGATGTGCACCCCTGCTCATAGGGACGGAAAGAGCAGGTTGGTTGATCACAGGCGTTTATTAACTCCAAAACAAAGTATACACAGGTCTCAAACGTTGCCCGTGTAGGAACCTTCACAGGTCCCTTTGCGACCTTCCAGGATCCCGCCTACTGCAAAAACAGACCAGAACCAGGTTACGACATGCTTTTATTCCGTCACTGATTACCTGATTCCGATCAGCTGTCTGTCCTCCGGCCAAGCCACTCCCTTCACTCCAGCAGCCGGTGCCCTAACCACACCCCGCTGCCACAGACACCCTCTGTCCTTAGACCCTCACATCGTACAAGGAAAAACTTCCAGAAAAAACCCACAGTTTAAAGGGAAAAATGAGAGAAACCTCAGGAAGAGCAACAGAGGAGGGATCCCTCTCCCAGGATGGACAGACGTGCAATAGATGCCGTGTGTAAATTGAAAAGATAATACATTTGCAACATAGGTAGTCCAAATGTTTGGAAATGCATGTGTGTATAATAGGAAGATGAGTCCACGAGGATATCCATCCAGGACCTATGATCCAGGACCACAGCCACTACTCAAGATCCAGGGCTCGCGATCCAGGACACAGGACCGCAGGATCATCCATGACTCCGGATCCCGGCGTATATAGACACCAAAAAGAAAGACATTTGGGGAAGCTGGGTTAATCGGAACATGAGAGTACACAGGTATAGACAGAGAGAAGGAAGAAGTAAGATGTCCCCCGACAAACTAAGCCTAAATCAGCAAAACTAGGGGCTGAATCTAATCAGCCCTAACCAGGGTGGGAATTTCACGTCGTTGCCCCGCACTTTGGCCGTGATGCCCTGTGAAAAAAAATGCAATTCACGGCCAAAGTGGCCTTGGTGCCCCTGTCAAAAGTTCCAGTGTAAACAACGCTAGTAAAGTCATATTAGTGCGCGCAGTAGGATAGTCCCGTGCCTGTGGATCAGAGCGATTGCTCTGCTGTGATTGTTCCGTCAGAAATGCCTGTAGGGGCCCGACAGCCTCCTCCTCAGCCGCGGGAGCAAGACAAGCACAGGTAAGCAAGCGGACTAAGCTGTTTTGATATGATTTAACTGAAGTATGTGGTAGTATTTGAAAGGACTTAACATTTACGTGTTTATAGAAAGTACTATTGATAGGTAATTACCATTGTATTAGCCTATTTAAAGTCGACTCGTTACATTTTGTCATGAAAACTAGCGATAGCTAGCTAGTTTGGATAGCGCTAACGTCTTCCCTTCAAGGGGTCTACATCTAGTGTTGCTTCTACAAGCTAGCAGATAGCTGTCACCTTTGAATCTAGTATTTTTCTTGCTAAGCGGTTTTGATATAATACATGACTGACTTATGTGGTTTATGGCTGAACTTAACGTATACGTTAAAGAAACACTATTGCTATTCAGCCATTTGTAAAACGACTGGTGTTGACGTTAGTGCTACACTTTTCAGTCATGTTGATTGACCAGCGTAATTTAACCAAACGGCCTTTGTGCCCTGTC